AAAATCACAGCTGATAGAACTGGAAATATCAAGATTACAGAAGACAAAAGGGACATGTTTTTGGCTTACTGTGTAAATCAGCAGTTAAGTCACTGCTTAGGATGTTCACAACTTGCCTACCTAGAGTCCTATCTACATTGCTGTCAACGCAACCTCCTGCTAATGCACACCCTAGGAGGCAGCAGTGTCCGAGTGTTGAGTCCCTGCCATCCGTATGAGAGAACTGTGACTTCCTGGTTCTTGTATTTCAAGAACATCCCTGACTGTTAGCGGCATTTGTGGAGTGAACCAGCAGATAGAAGTTCTTTAGCATTCTCTCTCTGTCTTGTCTGTGCCTCTTTCTTCTTGTCTCAGCCTTTCAAACAATATGAAAATAATTAAAGAAATTTAAAAAGAAGAAAAATTCCATAACTCTAGAATAAAATATGTTGCAATATATATGACAAATTAATGTAGTATGTGACCTTCAATTGGATATTGTAAACAAAAAAATAAAATAAGTGATAGAAATGATAAATGCCATTTGAATGTGAATTTTGGATTAAATAATAATAATGAATCAGTGTTAATTTTTCTGATTTTAATCATTGTACTATGATCATGTACAATTTGATGAGTTTAGATGCAAGGGTCATAATATCTCTAGCTTAGTCTTAGCTAGTTCAGAAAATAATCTATAGTAAAAGGAAGAATATAAGCAATTAGGATACAATATATACATAGCTGGTAAATTTAAGAGTAGACGAGAGTATTTTGGCAATCTTTCTGTACTTTATAAATTATATTAAAATAAAACAAAATGTCATATTTACTTGAGGGATTTTAAAATAAAAAAATATGCACTTTTACAAACTAGGAACAGTATAATTTCAGGCAATGAGCTATTATTTTTTGATTATTTTAATTAATTAGATTTAAAGAAACATTTAAGTGTTCATTAAGAGTTTGCTTGTTTTTATTACAAGTTTGCTTACTACTTAGAAGGAAAATCAAAAATTATAAATATATAGAAAATTCACTTTACAAATGGTATGACTTAAGTATTTGACTTGTTCTAAATATAATCAGAGTCTCCTCAAAAAAGGATGTATTTGGGGGACATTGAAATTATTAGATTCATAAGTAAAAAGATATGAGTATAACATGAAGATCTAGGTATAAATGATTTTTCTAATCTGTTAACTAACATTAACTTTTGAAAACAGATTCTGACTTCTACTGGTAACGAAAGAAATCAAAACATACACATTAATTCTTATTATGTGAATCATTTTTCTGGTATTGGGATTCATGTAGCAATGTGTTATTAATCCAGTGATTTGTAATTCATTCACTATTTACCTATGCCCCTTAGCTTTTTTCTCCCTGGTAGAACAATTATCTCTTATAGGAGCAGCCAGTTTTCCACTGTTTTTAGAGTCAAAGTGAGTGCTTGTAACATAAGGCTTTGGAGGCAAAGAGGATGGAAACACCTGGCGAAGATCGTTCAAAAGAAGAATATGAAAACAGTAAGAATTGGAGGAATATATGCTAGTAATGCAAACCATCACTTCTTCCTTTCTGTGAAAAAAACAGTTCACTTGACAACCTACTTTCCTCTGGGGAGATTAATCTTGCTTTTATCTGAAGTATGTTACTGTAATTTTGACACACTTTTATTTGATTATATTTGACAGCACTTAACAATTAAAGACACCCTATTTGACCTTGAATTCTTGAGGAAGTTCTAGAAAATGACACTTGTGTTTGTTTTTGTTGAAGGAAAGATTTGTCTTGATTGCTGATCTGCCTTTTATATCATTTGATGTTTTAAAGACTTGACATATCTGCAAATTCAAGCCAAAGAAATGTGCTTATGCGGAGAAATACATAAACAGGGACTATTGTTCCGGCTTTACTCCATGTGTGAGGAAAATGAACAACGACAAAGTTTTGTAAGATAAACACGTACCCCTCAGATATGTTTATTGAAAAAGAAAAGTAGTTAATCTTCTATTGATTAACTATTCCTTCATAATTCTTTAGAACAAATTGATTAAATGTTTTTCGAAAGATTGAAAGATCTAGAGAGAAAGAGAGATCTTCCACAGCTGCTATTTTATTCCCTCACTGTCCCCTGGACTGTGGCAGACAGAAACCAGAAATCTGAAGTTTCATCAAGGTCTCCCATGTGGCTGCCAGGGCCCAAGCACTTGGGCCATCTTCCTCTTCTTTTCTCAAGCCATTTGCAAGGTGCTGAGTTAGAAGTAGAGCAGCTGGAACTTGAAGCAGCACTCACATGGTATGCTCAAGTCACAGAAGGTAGATTTACCCACTACACCACAATGCCAGCTCTTTAAATACATTATTAATTTTAGAATTTGGGGGGTTGGAGATAAAATGAACTAGGAAGAGCATTCTGATATCCAGCTCACCCTATCTTGCCCATTTTTAATATCTTATGATATTATAGTATACTTGTTCGTGAACAAACATTGATACATTACTATTAACTAAAAAACAAGAAAATTACTTTATTCAAATGAATTTGTTCTTTACATTTTCTCTTTTAAGATCCCACTGGGGAAACCATATTGCTTTTAGTAGTGAGGGCTTCTTAAGCTATCCTTGACTCATAGTTTCTCAGACTGCCCTTGCTTTGTTGTTTTTGATCAATACTTCTCAAATCCACAAGGATAGGAGTGATGATTTACATGCTCTTCATATGTCAAAACTGAAAGAGGATGTCTAAAGAATATTTGCAACCTTTCTCTAGCTAATGCCTTCAAGTGTCACTCTGTATGTGCTTGAAAAAATAAATTATGGTTAACGTGTTTCCTTGGCCTCAATATTTAAATGAAATATTTGATGAGCAAGGCTTCACATTTCTCATAGGACTTCAAAACATTTACCAGCAGTTGAATTTATTATTATACTTTAATAATATGATGCTAAAACAAATGTGATATTTGTGTTATATGTTTATGTAGGCACATTCACTGTATTTGCTATTTTATTGATTGGTTAGGACTATGTTGAGAAACGTGAATTTGAAACTTCTACTTGTTGGCATTCACTGTAACAATCCTAAAGAAACGGCAATTAATCACCAATGATGAAACTACAGTTTAGAAGAAATATGTCATTTTTTTTTTTATTTTGACAGGCAGAGTTAGTCAGTGAGAGAGAGACAGAGAGAAAGGTCTTCCTTCTGTTGGTTCACCTCCTAAATGGCCACTGTGGCCAGCACGCCGCCGATCCGAAGCCAGGAGCCAGGTGCTTCCTCCTGGTCTCCCATGCAGGTGCAAGGGCCCAAGCACCTGGGCCATCCTCCACTGCCTTCCCGGGCCACAACAGAGAGCTGGACTGGAAGAGGAGCAACTGGGATTAGAACCCAGCGCCCATATGGGATGCAGGTACCTCAGACGGAGGATTAACCAACTGAGCCACAGCGCCGGCCCTTGAAAGATGACAATTTCTTAAAGTAAACAATAAAATTCTGCTGAAGATCTTTTAAGTGAATAAGAACTACTATACCTGAGAATGAAATTATCATGAGTAGAAATATATATTTCCTATGTTAAAATGAATTGAAATGAAATAAATACAAGTTGAAGAAGTACAGTAAAAATATTTGAAATCCGAAATAATCTGTGGCAAGCCAAAACCATAGAGGAGTCAAGTTGAAGGTGTGAAGAATTTTCACTATGTGAAACATAATTAAATTTCAAGAATAATGGATCCAATGCATGACAAACTAATTTTGGTGTTTGTTAATTTAATCATTATTTACCAAATGTTTTTTGACCACTGACTATATAGTAAATATCATTATAGAATAATTAAAATATGATTAAAATCTATTTTTCACAGAGCTGATGCTAAATATTTCATAAAAAGGGTGTGAATTTTAAACAACAATTCAACAGTCACATTCAGAGACCAGACAATAAATAGTAGAGTTATGTTACTTACCTGAATTCTTACAAATAGAATGTCAGATCTAAAGAAATATATTTATAAAAAACCAGTTACATCAAAACTATGATACAAAGAATAAAGTGCTTTATGTCAACAGAAAGTACCATTAAATAGGTTTTATGAAATACTTCATCTAAAGTCATACGAAGACCAGTTCTAAACTATTTTGAAATTACCACTTCAGTGCTCAATGTGACATCCTCCTGGATACCAGATAGGGAGATGCTTGCCAGGTCTTGAATGATAATCAGATTATCTAGTTGTTTAAAGAAATAAATCAGCTTGGTTTAGTACATAGACTTCCCACTCAAAAATGCTATTTGTCTCTATAGTTTTCTCTACACATAGTTGCTGTCAAAATATTTTACATATTATCACAAAATTTTGGACAAGTACCTCATACCTGTGTTCAATGTTTCTGTTCCAAATAAGTACAATTAACACTTATCAAATATTTAGAAAACAATATGCGCAAAAAATCACAACACCTTTAGTAATTATCTGTTTCAAATAATATGGTCCCAAAATAGCAGTTAGTAAAATGTGGGTAATTTTACAACTAGTGTACTTGGAGGTAATATGAAAAGCAACATTTGGTAATAAAATAATTTCTGGCAATATATGTTATCTTGTTTTTTCTTTTTCTGCCAAAGACAATGTATTTGTTACCTGCATATTAGTATTTCGAGGAATTCTTTCTCTCTCATTTAACACACACACACTCATACACACACATATATATATATAATATGGCACATGATATGTCTGGTACTTTTAGTTTTTTAGTGTTAACTGGACCTAGTGTCTTGTTCTAAATCAGGGGCATATGGCAAATGTAACATAATATGCCGTCCATAATTAGGTCACAAAGCACTGTGACATCGCCCTCTCCCTTGCGTTCTCTCTCTCTCTCTCTCTCTCTCTCCCTCCTCTCTTCCTCGCATACTCAGAAATAAACTGCCACATTACCAATTGCTCTATATAAAGGCCCTAGTGACAAGTAACAGAGAGAAACCTCAGGTGAACAGTTTATGAAGAACGGAGAACTAGGGGAATACAAGAAGAGTTTAATCCTTCCAACCCGTAGTTGATAAGCAGATCCAGTCAGGACTTGTATGGACTACAGCAGACTCCCGCAGCACACGGATTCTTGATGCACAGAAACTGTCCGGTAATAAATAGGTGTTGTTTTATGTCTATAAATTTTGGAGTAAGTCGTTTCACTACAATAAATAATGAATCCATAGTTCTAATGAAAAACAAATGCTATCAGTCCTACTCATTGTGATGTGAAATCATAAAACATTTTCTTTCCCCGGTTATTACCACAGAGTAAATTGCTTTGCCCTATGTTACCATTTCAAAAAAGGGGTAAAAAGTGAAGGTGTTAAAAACTTGAGTTTAGAAATGCCCTCTTTCCAAGGGATATTTACATTTAAAAAGAGGAGGCTGATGGGAAAGATATTTGAAGTTCAATAGATATCATTGCAATTACATCAAAATGGAAGCCACCCATTCTTCCCAAGAGTCAGCCTACAAACCTTGATTATGAGCATAAATGTACCCTGCGTTTTTACCAGGAAGTAAATGATTCTTGGAAGATGGCATAAAGGTTCCCTTCACTATGACAATGGACATCTGCAAGTTATTTCAAGGTTCTGAATTCTCATCTCAGTGGAAAATTAATTATAAGAATATCTCAGCTTTTAATGGATTTTAAATGATCTAAAAATCCTCTCTGTATTTTAATGTATAATTATTTTATATTAATAGCACAGCAGATATGAGGAATCAACTTTATGAAGCATACAGAACATCAATAACTCTCCATGTATTTGAAGTTCTTATGCTTATGTTTTTTTAATATATGCTCTGAATAAGATTAATTTTCTCATAAGGAACATTTGCAATCTAGCTGAATATACTTAATAGAAATTTGTGTTATTCAGAATGAATGCTGACTAATTTTCTCTTTCTTGCTTGTTTAGCATAACTCTTTTGTTCAGAATTGTTGAGAGTCATTTTCATAATTGTAATAAATATTTTCAAACATATAAAAATGTTTTATGTTTTGATATAAATGGGAAAATTCTTCTGATCAGTAATAACAATATTTTGAGAAGTTCTAAATAACTTATGGTAGCTAAGGCAGTATTGTAGAATGTTTACATACAGTTAATAAAGATTCAGTAAAAAAACAGATATTAGATCTCACAAAATTGTATTTGCCAACCATTCGAGATTTTATCAGAATCAGATCAATGTATCTATAAAAGAAATTTTTGACTGTACTATTTGACTATTTGACCTTCCTATTTCATCCTCAATTTCCTCATCTATTACACTGGGGACAATATAATAGTACCTATCTCACAGAACTGTTGTAAGGATTAAATGAACCATTATAAGTAGAGTGTTGGCCGGCGCCGCGGCTCACTAGGCTAATCCTCCGCCTAGCGGCGCCGGCACACCGGGTTCTAGTCCCGGTCGGGGCGCCGGATTCTGTCCCGGTTGCCCCTCTTCCAGGCCAGCCCTCTGCTGTGGCCAGGGAGTGCAGTGGAGGATGGCCCAGGTGCTTGGGCCCTGCACCCCATGGGAGACCAGGAAAAGCACCTGGCTCCTGGCTCCTGCCATCGGATCAGCGCAGCGCGCCAGCCGCGGCGGCCATTGGAGGGTGAACCAACGGCAAAGGAAGACCTTTCTCTCTGTCTCTCTCTCTCACTGTCCACTCTGCCTGTCAAAAAAAAAAAATAAAAAAATAAAAAAATAAAAAAATAAAAAAAAAATATAAGTAGAGTGTTAACAAGTGCTTCCCATGTTATAGATATTACCCAACATTATTTTTAGTATTTGTAGTATATCTCTGGGCAAAAATAAAATATTATTCCTTGGTAGAAATAATGTATTAATGTACTATAAAATTTTAAATGTTCTATATATATTTAATAATTTGTAGAATTCACTCAACATTTTGTGTAAATATCTGATGTTACTTTATTAGATATAAACTGATCTTAAAAATGAGGTAACACACCAACATAGTCCATGCTGATGCCTGCACTACTATTATAGCCAATTTCTAGGAATAAATATATATAGCCCTTCATTTAATAAATAAATCAACACAATTATATAGGCATGAGATAGGTGGGTGGATGGAGAGTGCAGAGAGAGAGGGAAAGAGAGAGAGAGAGAGAATGAAAATAAGGGTGCCTAAAATACTCTTGCAAATTTTCTCAATAATAGTGTACAAAAACAAATTATCATTCCTTTTGAATTTATATTACATTGGGAAAATAGAGAAGATAACTATGCAAGTATTTGTGTAGTATGTCAGATGTTAGTAAATGTTAAATTATATTGGAAGAAAGCCTATGTACAGAAGGGGCCAGCACTAAGAGACTGGGAAGACACCTGCAGTTTCAAATACAGTGATGAGAAAAGGTCTCCTAGAGAAAACAAATCACTGGCCTAAAGAACTAGAGGAAATTAAAAGGGTAAAGGAAAGAGATGTTCAGAAATCAGGAATTGCTAGTGAAAAGACTTTGTTGTAGAACATACTTGGCATGCTCCAGGGGCATTTAATATAGCATTTTACAGAAATATCTAACATAAGATGATCAAAAAATGTCATGCCTTAAGACACGTTTGGAATTTATGTTCATCTTAATTGTCTAGTTGTTTTTAAAATAACATTAGATATTTACCTAAAATGTTGAGTGAATTCAACAAATTATGAAATACATATAGAACATTTAAAATTTTAAAGTACATATATATTTGTATCTCATTTTGTGTTATCAGAGAATTTAAAAATATATTATGACATTGATAAGAACAAGATAATGAATTTTAGATAGTTTAAGTAATTTGATCAAAGTTATTTAGTATATTTAAAAAATTAGCTATAGACCACATCAGCAACCAAAATTTTAGTATTTTATTGTATAATACAAACTTTTAAATCGTAAGCATGCAAAACATAAGATACTTGATATTCATTACATTTTTTCAAAATGACTTTTGAAGTATACTCATTTTAAACCAAAATTCAAATAGCCCAAACATATATCAAGGCAAAAAAATAGGTAAAAATCTACCTACAAAACTTACAGCCTATTTTTAACTATTATATTATCTGTCATTTTCTCTTGTGGGAGAATGATCAATATACAAAATGAAAATAGAATAACCCATTGTTAACAGAGAATAATTAGATAACTACCCACAAATACATGCATATACACATGTAAGGTGCCTGTTCTGACTGCCCTAGGCTTATTTCACCCACTAACATTCATTAAGAGGAAGATAACATTTACATATAAAGTTATAGCTATGAAATTTAAATTGATGTGGATTATTGTAGCCAAATGGCTTTATAGTTGCTATAGGTTACAATTGATATAGTTTGTATTCCAAGTCAAGTAAATACTCTGAACAACTCCACATTATATGACATATTAAATGGCTGTAATATTCTGTATATATAATCTCTATATATAATCATAAATTATTAGTAATCCTTGAATTTTATACTACCCATCAGAGAGATGAGATGGGTCTCATGTTACAATGCATCAGGGTAGGCTGCTGATTGTGGTGGTGGTATCCCATATTGGAGTGTCATTTCGAGTCCCCATTACCCTCTCTGCATCCCATCTGGCTGACTTCTAACATGCCTGGGAATGCAACAGATGTTCCAAGTGCTTGGGATCCCTGCCACCCATGTGGGAGACCCAATGTAGTTCTTGACTCCTGGCTTTGTCCTGGCCCAGCCCAGCTGTTGTAGACATTTGGGAAATGAATCAATGGATGGAAGATTTCTCTCTCTCTCTCTTTCCTCTCTTCTCTCTCTTTCTGCTTCCCCCAGTCACTCTACATTTCAAATAAATAAGTAAATCAATCACTTTTAAAGATGAGAGATATTGGGGCTGACATTGTGACATAGTGGGTAAAGCCCTTTTCTGCAAGGTTGGCATCCCATCGAAGCCCCATATTGTGTCCCAGCTGTTCCATTTCTGATCCTGCTTCCTGCTAATGGCCTGGGGGTGTGGTGGTGGTGGTGGAGAAAGCAGGAGATGGCCCAAGTGTTTGGAGCCCTGTGACCTACTTGGGAGACTCTGCTTCTGGCTTCGACCTGGCCCAGTGCTGGCTGTTGCAGCCATCTGGGGTGTGAACTAACTGATGGAAGATCACTCTCTCTATGTCTCTTCATCATCATCTCTGACTTTCAGATAAATAAATAAAGAGAGATATGATACAAAACTGTTATTATCTTGCTATATTTTAAAGATAGTTTGGGAAGAATAAATCTGCTCTTAGAAGTATATTACTTGGCTACTTAAATTTTGTAATTGCTTTAGAAATTACATTGTCTATAAAAATAAAATAAATCTCAATAAATTTTGGATGCCATATACTGAACAGAACATAAGAATGTCACTAGTATCTTTTTTACAACTTTTTATCAGGGTCTGGTGCTGTGGCTCAGCGAGGGAAACCATTGCCTACAGCACCAGCATCCCATATGGTCAAGCCAGCTTGACTCCTGGCTGCTCCACTTCCTATCCAGTTCCCCGCTGATGTGCCTGGGGAAAGCAGTGGAGGATGACCTAAGTGCTTGGGCCCTTGCACCCACGTTGGTGATGTGGATGAAGCTCCTGGCTATGGGCTTCAGCCTGGCCCAGACTTGGCTGTTGCAGTCATTTGGGGGTTGAACCAGCAGATGGAAGTTCTTTGTCCCTCTGCTTTACCCCTCCTTCTGTAACTCTGGTTTTCAAATAAATAAATAAATCTCAAAAAAAAAAATAAGCCTTCTTACCAAAATAGAAAATCTTACTAACATATCTTTTTTGGAATATCCCATTCCAGGTTTCAAGAAACTTTTACCATATTTGTGAATTCTTCTAAATGATACATTTGCTTAATATCACTTTGAATATATTGCTAAGGTAGTAACATCTTTAAAATTACATATGCATATCTATTGATTTAAAAATCTTGTCATGAATGAACTTTATTATTAAATTGCTCTGAAATAGTTAGCCAGTGTGGTTTCAGTTGATTTCTTCTCTCAGGTGTAGCACTCATCTTTAAATAAAAATTTCTGTTTTTTGATGTTTATTGACTCACAATGTCAATTGCTTTTTGCCAGAGTGCTGGAGGTCT